CGAGGGTGTAATCAATTGCCATATTTGGTGTAACCGGTTATCACTGTAGATGAATTAATTCATGTTAGGTGTAACCGGTGATCCACTTTGACATAACTGGTTACAAGCACGACTCTTTGTGTTTTTATGTTAGTTTACTTGATCATTTTATATATCACTAATAGTGTAACCTCTATATAAGTGTGTATGATATACTCTCACTCTATCTAATTAAAATTTTCTACATTCTCACCATCAATTCTCCTCTTTCACTCTCCGCTTTCAAAATCAATTTCACTAACCTTGTTATTGCTTGTTCCAAAAAATAATTCAACAAATTTAACAAAATACATCAATTAATATTAAAAATATACAAATATGTTACAACTTATAGATATTGTGTAATAAAGATGAATAAAACAAGTTGTGTAATATTTCTACAATTCAAGGTTTCACCTCGTTTTAATAGTTTTGTCCAAAAGGTAAAAATTTAAAAAGTCAAATCATTAAAGTTATTTGATGATAATTATAGTACTTACCTTTTTGACTGACTTTAATTATAATGATTAAGATATCACACTCATAGTACCATTGTATTAAAAAAAATTGCATTAAAATGTAATAAATTACTATACTCGAAAAAAAAGTCCATAATATTTATCTATGTCCTCATTTTCATATATCATGAAAATTTTCACCATACGAGTTGGTGAAACAAACATTAAACATACTCTCTACTTATCTATGATTAAACTCAATATTATCAAAAATTACAAACAAAAAAAAATCGGAGAATTACGATAAAAAGTGGGTGACAGAATTTAGTTACATTTTAAAGGTACATATTGTAATTGCATCACCCTTCCCAAAATAAAACACAACACATTGATCTTTAGTCATTACGTATCCAACACGACACTCTATTTTAAAAAACGTGTATAGTGCACACCTACACTCACATTATTACATTTAACAACTTTTCCTTTTTCTAAAAGAATATTATTAATTTATTTCGTTAAATTTTAATTTTAAATATTTAAGATTTATAATATTATTGAGTGTCTATTATAAACTATTTTTTTTAAAAGATTTAACCACTCAATCGATTCTGTTTGGCACGACGATTTTTGAGTTTATACTTTATGAACTCACATGATAATAAAAAATTTATTTGATAATAGTCTTTTCATCTCGAACTTATAGTTTATTTTACTAATTTATAGTTTATTTTTCATATGCTATTTTAAATAACGTTTTAGCTTATAGCTTATAGTTTATTATTTTTTCTTCAACTTTTGTCATTATTATTTTAATTAAAATTCACTACCACCCTTTATAATTTATTTTAATTTAAATAAAACAATTATATATTAAATATCTTTTATGTAATTTTAATTTATCAACTAATTAAACCGTTAATTTTACCAAACACTTCAAATAACTTATCAACTATAAGTCATCAGCCATTAACTATAAATTGTAAGGTATCAATTATCAGTCATCAGTCATAAAATATAAGCTATAAACTAGCTTATCAACCAACCGTAATTTTTCCCAAACAAAGTCTTAAAAAATATTAAATAGTTGAACATTGAAAGTCTATTGAATCTAACAATGAATCGTCAACACACAATAATATATCTTTTTTTTTTTTTTACATTTCTTCATCTTCTTCTCTCTTTTCTTTCTTCATCTTCATCATCACCTTGAACATGTTCATATCAAAACTCAAAAAATTATAACATAAATTTAGAAAATTTTGTATCACGCTCTATCTAATAATTAAACTTAAAAAAAAACTTTAAAATTACTTCAAGAATTAATTAGTCTAACCCTTGATCAAATAGACCTGATTTTCTATCTTTTTAAACTTTCAATTCAATGTTTACAATTACACTCTATTCAAATTCATGAATGGTTTAAACTTTAAATCTTTGGTGACTCATCATGGTATTTGTTCGGGATACATATGTTTATGTTCACTTGAACCAAAAAGGCAATTGCCAAATTACAAAATAGAATTTATAGGAGAAAGATTGCCATTATGAAATGCAACAAATCAATGGTTTAGAGAGGATATAACATAAGTGTATAAAGGATATAGATCTTTGGTGAGGATAAAATCTGATAGTTTTTTTCTTGACATGCGCGCTTGCATCTTGTAGATAACATGCATGTACAAGTTGCACTCTGAATGACATGCATATCATTTTCCTTCTTCCTCACCTCAAAGACAGGTACTTCACAAAAGCCAAACTCTTATCCATAGCCAATGCCTCGAAACCAGAAATGTAGGTCTTTCTTCATAGTTACCTCGTAAGAGGAAAGAAGACCTAACTTGGTGATATAGAAATAGACATCATGATGGGAGTGAGACCATGACACATACTTCATGAATTTGCTTTTATAGAAATGGGAGGATTCAGCCGAAGAATAGTAGAAGGCTAAATGGGCCTCTAGAGTGAGGGGTTTCAATAGCATAAAACACCTCAGAAAACCACCCAGCCACTGGTGAAATGGTCGAAGCAAGGATCGTGCGGGGAAGCTAATGAACCCTTGGTCATGAGTGCCTTCACGAGAGGTGTGCACCATATAGAAAAAGTTGAAAATAGAATGAGAAAAAGTTTCCAAGACTTATGCTCAACACAAAACTGAAGTGCCTTCAGGCAAGCTTATGCCTCCAGTTAAAGTTGGTTAGAGAAAGGGAGCCGCAACCTTATCCTAATGTACATGGATTTGTAAAGTGGGACCAAACGGTCGTAAAAGAAATTGCATATCATTTTCCATAGAACCACGAGAAAAATCGACCAGTCCAAGGGTCAGCGACCGTGATGTCTGTCGCATCTATTGTCGCTTCAGTGTTCAGAACGAACATGCCTAAACTATTTTTGCATCCATCTAGTCGTACTTCACTACATTGAGCAACTCCACCAACAACACGCCTCTCCGGGCAAGGTCGTCAACTTTAAAGTGCACACGCTAAGCTTTATCCAAGAAAATGCTTCTGACTTACCCTGATATTCCAAGTAGGTCCTAATCTCAGCGTCACTAGGTTCACAATTAATGGTTCTTCGGTAAACTTGAACAAAATCACCAACACATTCTTTTCTCGAATTAACGACCTCTATCTCTAGTTCAGTCAAAATAGAATGGGGGCATAGGGACCTCAACTCAATCGTCTTTTTCACCGTTCTCTCATAAGAAAGCTTCGAAAGAGCCCAAGGAAGAAGCCCTCTCATCAATGTAGTTCTCATATACCCTTTCCAAATCAGAATCGTCTATCAGGGATATAACTTCTTTGTCCAGGCGATCACAAGAAGGGGAGGTAAATGAGAATCATGAGATAACATTATTCCAACAGTAGATAAAACGCCTATCTCAAAATTACTCAATATACAATAGGGCTATTGCTCATCGTGATCAGAAAACAGGAAATGTTGAAGATAAAAGCTTAAGATGAGAAGGGTATCTGGTTAGGCGAGGTTGATGAAACGAAATGTTAAAGGAAGGAAAAATCTTTGATCAAAGACCTACAACCGTTGGTAAATGCTCTCAATAAGGAAGGAAAGGAAACTTTGCTAGTAAGGATGATTATGAATGAACTTTAGTGCCAAGGATAGTGAAAAGTTTCCCCGAGGCTCAACTCCCCATATATATAGACATGAGCGATCTAGATCAATGGTGAAAAGGAGTTAGAGAATCAACAACTGAGTTTCTCCTTTGAAGTGCAAGCAAACTCGAGTACATTATAAGCATCTTCATGCCCTAACTGGCCACGTCAACTCACGTGTTAAGAAAAATAGACAAAACATTTCAATGATGGAAATACATTTAATGCGCTTGTCCCCCTTACTTTTACAACTGATTCAAAGCATTTCATGTCTAATTTGCATCAGACAAAATCCTTAAATGTCGACCTCGACCGCTAAAGGCTTCCCCGACTCTCTAAGTGCCAAACCAGCCTTGGGAGCAACTGTTTTAGGTCGGCCAAAGGTCCAATTCCATTCGAATTCACTCCACTTGACGCAAAGTATACAAGTCATTTCCCACGAAAAACAAAATACATTTTTTGGTCTCCACTTTTTTTTTTACAATTATTTTAAATCTTGAATTGATTTTAACGTTGAAATACTAACTTTCAAAATCCATCCACGCTGCCGTAGTCTCGGAGATCAATGCCACTTTTCAAAATTCTATAACACTAAATTCATCTATTTTTGTTTCCAATAAAGAATAACTACAACCTATCCCACTTAGCAAAATTCTTAATACTAACTCATATTCAAATTTACGTGGTTCATTAAATATCAAATATTTTTTTTTACAGTAACGTTTTTTATCAATATTACTCTTCCTTAAAATAATATCTGTATATTGAATATTACACTTGAAGATATTTTATTGCCCATTAAAACTAGGCAACTAATCGTTATAAAAAACATTGGATATTTTATTGCCCATTTAATCTAAGATGATTAAACGTTATAGATACTATAGATCTAGTTTATTTTTAATATAACAATTAAATTATCAAATTTTACCTTTTAAAATGAATAAGTAAAATAAATAAATAAGATGTACACATTCACACCAGTGAAGTCACAATCACATTTTTTTTGGGTGCTATAAAGTGTCTTTCTACGTAATAAAATATCTGAATTAATTCGACTTTTAAATCATATTAATCTAAATTAGTCGATTTAGATTTTTCAATCAGATTAGTCGGTCTAATAAATTAAATATTTAAACCAGATTAATTTAAATTAATTGATATAAACTTTTAAATTAGATTAGTTGGTTCAATAAATTAAATATTTGTTGGACAATATATTACTACAATTGATGTAGTAATATCTTTTCCTGCAAATTGACTGATTTTCCTCTGCTTCCATCCCCTGCTCTGACCACCGTATCTTTCACACTTTTCCTTTCTCATTCAAATGCTCCCAAAACACTCTTCACTCATTCATCACTATATATAAACCAACACCCTTTTCTCTTTCTTCTACGCTTTTTCTTCAATGGAAAACCTTCTTCATTTCCGCATCATTCTTCTCTTTGTCGCTTCCTTTTTTCTTCTTCAAAACGTAACATCTTTCAAAAACCAAGATGCCTCAGAAGAATGGGGTTACGTTCAAGTCAGACCCAGTACGTTTTTCATTTTTTTGTTCTTACATGTTTGTGAAAAAGTTACACTGAATTTCATTATTGTTACTATTATTGTTATTGTTATTGTTATTGCAGAAGCACATATGTTTTGGTGGCATTATAAGAGTCCTTACAGAGTAGAAGATCCTTCAAATCCATGGCCAATTATTCTGTGGTTGCAGGGTGGTCCTGTGAGTAGATAAAAAAAATCTGAATTTTGAATAAGAACAACCCGTTTTCTGTGTTTTGTGGATGATAATGAGATTTTGAAAACTTTGAATAGGGTGCTTCTGGAGTTGGAATTGGAAATTTTGAAGAGGTTGGACCTTTGGATACTGACTTGAAACCAAGGAATTCAACATGGTTGTTAAAAGCAGATCTCTTGTTTGTGGTAATGACTCATAGACTTTTGGTTTTCATTGATTTGGTTGTGACTTGTGGATGAATAGTAATAGTCAAAATTAAAAGTGCTTTGAATATATGATTGGTTGTGATTTGTTGAGATATTAAAACTTATGATAGTGATTGTTTTTAATATCAAAGTTATAATCTTCTTTTTTACTATGTGATTCTAATCAATTAATGCTTTTGATGTAATATCTTAAAAACACAGGATAATCCAGTTGGAACAGGATACAGTTTTGTGGAGGATGAAAAAAATGAAAAACTTTTTGTGAAAACAGATGAGGAAGCAGCCACAGATTTGACAACTTTGTTAATTAAGTTATTCAATAATGATGAAAAACTCCAAAAGAGTCCTCTGTTCATTGTGGCAGAATCCTATGGTGGAAAATTTGCTGTCACTCTTGGATTATCTGCTCTTAAGGCTATTGAAGACAAGAGATTGAAACTTACACTTGGAGGTAAGAGTTTTCTCTTGAATTTCTCTATCTTCATATGCCAGATCTCAGATTGGTCTTATTCAATCTATGGTTATTGACCTATGAATGGGATTGTTTTCGTTGTTTGTATTAGAATATTTTTAAAACATTGTAACTTGAAGAAATTTATGATTTTGGGAATCTTTTTTCTTATGTAGGTGTGGCATTAGGAGACAGTTGGATCTCACCGGAAGATTTTGTGGTGTGTGATAAATTATTTTATTGAACACTAATTTTAAATTGTAGTTGTGGCTAGGACACAAACCTTTCATATTACACTAAATGATGCCGGTGTGCTCTGAAATCGCTGTATTGAGTTGCAATTCGGGTTGCGAACTGCAATTTAAAACTATTTAAACTTTTATAAATTTCATGTTTTATCTGAATTTGTAGTTTTCATGGGGTCCTCTCCTCAAAGACCTCTCAAGACTTGATGAGAATGGACTGGAAAAATCAAACAAGTAAATATCTTTACCATTTTCTCAAATAGAGAAACAAAATGCACTGCAAAAAGTGTTATTCTATAATCTATAAAATGATTATTTTCTCTCTTATCTGATACACTCATTTTGGAGATCAGTTTAGCTCAGAAGATCAAGAAGCAACTTGAAGATGGTAAATTCGTTGAAGCAACCGACACATGGGGTAACCTTGAGTCGGAGATCTCTGCTAGCAGCAACAATGTGGTAACTTTTCATTCAACTTCTATCCTTACCTTAAATGAGTTCTCCTTCTAACCACAATGTATTTAAATCTACGCTCGTAAGCTATGGAGCACTGACACTTCAAATTGAAGGCGTGTATGGTCGAACGTATACAACACAAACAAATGTCATTAGATTCAATCACTTCTATTTTCTCAGTGTTATCGGTGTTTACCTGTCGGTGTGAGTGACGTGTCTGGTGTCAATGCTTCATAGCTCTTAAAGTAAAAAGTATGACGTTTTTTTGTTGAATATAGGATTTTTACAATCTCTTGTTGGATGAGGGAAGTGATTCAGCAACCATATCAGCATTGAAACTGGGATTATTCAAAGAAACATCAATGAGGCGGTACTCCAAGTATCTTACTTCCAAAAGGAGAAGATCTTATTCTCCTGGTGGTGATAATGATCTTGGCACTTTACTAAATGGTGTTATAAAGAAGAAGTTAAAGATCATCCCTGAGAATGTCACGTAAGCCTATAATTCTTTAACCATGAATAATAAGTTTTGTTCATAGTTTCATTGCAAAAAAAATGCATGACATGATTGCTTAATATCTGTGTATTTGATAATAGATGGGGAGGACAGTCTGATAAAGTCTTCACTTATCTTGGAGGTGATTTTATGAAACCAAGAATTGATGAGGTAAGAAGTTTTTTTTAACTATGGTTTTATTTTAATTTTAAACTTCAATTTAAATTCATGTATCATATCATAAATGTTCAATGTGAGCTTAAAATAAAATCTAGTAAATACGAAAAACATATTTCGTGCTGAAAAATGTGTCACGCATCTAAATCAATTTTTGACATTTTTTAAATTTGATTTAGTGAATGTGTAATTTGTAGGTCTCAACTCAAATCAAGATCGAAATTGATCACTACTTGTTTTCATAATTGTGCAAACTTTTCCATTCTTTTCTGGATTTTGATGCCATTTAGTGTTAACGTTTACAGGTTGATCAGCTATTGGCCAAAGGAGTCAATGTGACTGTGTACAATGGACAGGTAAGAGTCCCTTCCACTGTTAGTTTCGATAATAATAAGAAAATTGATAAGAATACTTAATTTGACAAGTTGACTTGGTCTTAAAGTAATCAAGTTTTCTTGTTGACCTGATTTGACAAACATGATTTTTCTTTAAGTTTAATCATATAATACTTTTATTTGATGTGTTTTTTAATATAAGCAATAACATCATAGGTTGATCTGATTTGTGCTACCAAAGGGACCGAAGCTTGGGTTAGGAAACTCAAGTATGCATTTTTTCTCTCTTTTTCTTTCTTACCTTCATTGCTGCTATTCCTTCTTATCTTTATTATAAGAGAAAATTTAATTATTTTTTATGATCAAGTAGTGTACCCACGCCCCTGCATATGATATTTGTGCACAACTACCAACTAAACTGACTTTATGAGACAAATTTATTTTTTAGATTTATAATAATCAATGTATAAGCAATGAGGCTTAACACTCTCTCTCCTTCTTTCTTTATTATGCAGGTGGGAAGGGCTTAAAAATTTCTTAGGGAAAGACAGAACTGCCCTCTACTGTGGAAATAACAAAACAACCAAAGGCTTTTTTAGGTCATACAAAAACCTACAATTCTATTGGATTCTTGGAGCTGGGCATTTTGTAAGTCAACATTTAAACAGCTTGCATAAGTTTTCATTCATTGCAGAAATAGTACTAACATAGTTACATCTAATCTAACAAAAATGGCTTCTCTATTCTACTACATTATCCATAAATATTCAATTGGAGTATTATTTTATAAGTACTACTATACTATTTATAGGTTCATGCGACAGTAGATTATTTTATCAGCATCTTAGTAAAATATTACTCTCTCCCTCCAATAATAGGTGGTGGCATTAGCCAAAGAAAAATATTTTTCTCAAGAAATGAGACAGAAGCATTTATTATAATGAGTTTGTACCACTATTCAGCTAAAATAAAATACAGTACTGACCAGTGACAGTGTTTTTTACTTTTGAGACTCATGAGAAAAATAAAATACTCTGTCTTTGTGACTATGTTTCATTTTGTTAGTGATTGAGTGAGTAGAGTACATAAATTTATGTATGATGATTTGTTTGGTTGTTGGTGACTGTAGGTACCTACTGACCAACCTTGTGTTGCATTAGAAATGATAGCTTCAATTACACAGTCACCAGCTGCTTGAAAAGACAAAAAAAAAAAAAATCAGTACTATCTGTAGAGTAAATTAAAGAAAAAAGGTCCAAGAAAGAAAATTCATTGTGGATCAGGGAAAGAACAGCAATAAAGCCATGGAAAAGTGTTATTTATTGTTTCTTTTACATTGTTATTCTTTTTTGTTGACCTTATTATTAGTATATAAATAAATATATAAACATGTACTTTTTCATCTGAGTTTGGGGATTCATGGAGGTCTTTGTTTTCTGAATAATAAAGTAACAGAAGTGAGCCATTTTTTACGGTTGAATTAATGATACTAATTCCTATAGCATTCATGATGAGAAGATGCTTTTCATCGCTGGATGGTTGATGACATATGCTTTTCATCGCTGGATGGTTGATGACATAATGATGACTATAATGAGCACAAACGAAGACTTTTGACTCTTTAATAGAAGTATACTAATTTTTTTTTTTTTTAATACTAAAACTCTATCTGTTAAGTTTCATTTCATCCTTATTAAAAAAATTGTAAAAGTAAAAGAGAGATTGATATTTTTATTATACTAAATATGATGAAATTGTTAAAATTTTGGGTAACATATATAGTTATATGTATTATTATTTAATTAATTAGAATTGAAGTGGTTTAATTGATATTAAGTCTATTGTTAAGCGCGCGTGTGTATATATATATATATATATATATATATATATATATATATATATATATATATATATATATATATATATATATATATATATATATATATATATATATATATATATATATATATATATATATATATATATATATATATATATATATATATATATATATATCATGAAATGTTAGTGAATATAAATAAGTCAATATCTAATTTGATGAGATGACAAATTAAAATATTTTACAACCTCGAGTGATAGACAAAACATGGTTTATCAAGATTCTTTCTTCTTCTCTATCAGAAGAAATTCAAGAAACCCTAATAAACTCTACAAATAAGAAATACTTGATATCAGACTAAAGAAATTTAAACAAACTTTATCAAAATTAATGAATAAAACAACTAAAGAATATGACTATGCAAACCGGAATGATACAAATGTGTTTCAATCCGTATTCATTTTGATATAGGAAGCACAACAAAACAATAAATAAATAATATATCATATATTAATTTACCTCACTAGGGTTAAGGAATACTTAACTATGGTCAAGATTTCAAGGATGAACAAACATAACAATGTTTGTATAGAGTTTGAAAAAACACTCTAGATCTAAGTTTAACACTCAAGGGGATTGACTTTGACAAAAGTCAAGAGGGGAGTAAGTAATCATGACAATGATTCTTACACAGAGTTAACAAACTCTATCTTAAAGTTCTAATTGAAGGATACTCTTAACAAGAGGTAGGTCTTTAGACTTAAAGCAAAGTCTAATGGATATAGGTTTTAACTTAACTAAGTTAAAGGACCTAATGACTTAACCAAGTCAAGGGGAGGGATAATGAGCTATCTATGACAGTGAAGTCAATAGAGAGGCTTTCCTTTGGAATAGGGGATAACAAGACAACTGGATGAGAGCTAACAAGCTACATCACTTGGGAAAACTTAACAAAGCCTAAATACACATATGCATTCATTTAAACATGATGAATATATAAATTCATGGTAACAACCAAGAAAGATAAGGGCAATTCTATGACAACATTAGCAAAGATGATAACAAGACAACTTGATGAGAACTCACAAGTTCCATCATTGGGGAAAAAAACTTGATAAAGATAAAGATAAACAAGTATGACCAATTAACAAATTGAACACAAAAAGCATGGTAACAACCAAGGTTTAATGATTTAACATTACAATGTTCAAAGATCATGAAGGTAACAACCAACAAGGGCAAGCATGAAACATGTGTAACAACAACATTTTCATCAAAGGTATTCAAACAAAACTCATGCAAACAAGTTATAACTTGAATCAGACATGGTATATGAATCAATTAAAGACAAATGTAACACATTTAATCATATTCAAGACATATTCATGACAATCAATCATGGATAGGCAAGAAAAGTAACAACAGTTCAAACATGGATTCAAACTTCACAAAGGGAAAGATAAATAAGATTCATGGTAACTTTCAAGGCAAGAAACAAACCTAAACATGTTATGGTTCTAACAAGACACATAAAAAAGCAAGATGGGGGTGAAGGATCATGTTCATGAGGTTACAACATCAAGAAACATATCATGGTTCACAAAGAAGTTTCAAGGCATACTTTTCACATTCATGCATTCACAAAGACAAGTATAATCATGGTAGATAAAAAGAGCCAAGTGTTTTCAAACATATAAACATGTTATAAATTCAACAATGATTCATACAAGATCAATATTACAAGAAAAATCAAGTACTATGTCAAGAAAGTTCATGAAAACCAAAGAAAACCCTAAAAAGGACCATGTCATTCAAGTGGATCAAAGTGTTTCAAAAATAACAATTTTTGAATTCTTTCTTCACACGTTGAAACTAGACATATTAAGTAGCATAGTTCAAAAAGAGTGGCATCAAAATGATAAAAATAAAAGAAGTTATGCACATTTGAAAACTAGGCACTAAATTAGGCAACTAAGGCAAAAAGATAAGGTAAGCAAAACCAAGGCAAGGCAGATTTTGCAAATAGAGTCATAACTCACTCAAAACTTAATCAAATTGGACGAAATAAAAAAGAAAATTGTGTATTTTTTTCACAAGGAATCTAATGGTGGTGGTGGTTTTCTTAGATCATGCACCATGTGAAAAACTCGATAGCATCATTGAAAAAGACATGTTATGTGCAAAAACAATGTGACCAGTCCAATGTACATGTTCTAAGCAACAAGTAATGATTCAAACACAAAATGTGAGACATATAGAGAGTGCTTACAAGAATCATACATCAATAGACAAGCTAATTCAACAGATGACATGTGTAGTGGCAAAAATAGCAAGCTTGTGCAAGAGCAAAGCAACAGACAGAAATGCACAAATTCAGCATCAACCAAATGATCAAACATATCACATATGACCTATAAATGATTTTCACAAACACCAATCATCTATGTCTAAACAGAATCAACAAGTTATATATTAAAATGACACTTAAAGTAAGCTAACAAGCCAAACCAGTGGGACAATCATGAATACCCAAGTTTATGAGTAAGAAATGGTTCAAACATGACCTATAAAGTGTATCTAGCATGTTCATAATCAGTGTACATCAATATTCAGCATGATCTTAAAAGTAGCAAGTTAGAACACTTACCTCTTGTAGCTTTTTCAAGTCAATGCGGCAAATAAGAAAACCAGTTCATGCATGGTGATCCAAGCAGCTCCGATATGTTCCAAATAAGGTGTTCAAATGATGAGAACTCCTTCAAGATCATTGTCTAGACAGAATGCCTTCTTATGCAAGAAAACACCAAAAACTTCAAAGTGAAACTCTAGGAAATGGTGATACATAACTTTTATGATGCCATGGACAGTTCAAACAACTTATATGGAGAGTGTTTGAAGTGTTAGAATGATTGGAAAATGGCTAGTTTTGTTTTGGTCTATGAAGATGCAGAAAAGTCAAATTTTCAAGGTATGAGAGTTGACTTTTGGAATGTGAGGTTTTCTGGTGAATGTGAGGGTTTGGGCAGATTCAATATATCATATGTGATGTGTTTGAGGTGTTGGTTCAAGTGTTTGGTGGTTGTATTGAGTTGTGGCAGAGTTTTTGCAAGGCAGATTTTTCTTCACAAGGAAGCAACTTCTACCACTTGCAAGAAGATGGTGATCAGACAAATGAGAGAGATTCATATTGGTTTCTAGTTGACTCTGGTGTTTTTTGGATGTTAGGAGCGTGTTCTATTTATAGGCAAGCTTGGAGAATGAGAGGTATGGGCAGATTGTGCCAACTTGCCAAGTTTGCCCTTTTTGGAGGCAAAATGAGCAAATCCAACTTGGGATTTCTTTTCTGAGCATGCGCAACCTTCCTATGTGTTTCAAAATCACATATAGCCTGCAAATAGTTGACATGAAGTGAAGGAAAGAGAGTAGCTGATGCAGTAGTTGAGGTGTAGAAGAAAATGCAAAAAGTTTCTCTCTCCTTGCCACTTGCATCTACTTGCTTGAATAAACAAATCAAATAATCCAATCTCTGGTTTTTGCTCGTGATAATCCATTTTAATCTCATCAATTAAGTCCCTAAACATCATAGGATGAGTTAAAAAGTGATTAGGAGAGGTTTGATTGGTTTATGCATCAAAATGCAAGTGCTTAACTTGATTTTGTGACATGAAAAATCCCTAACTTGCTCTCTTCGATTCTCCCTAAATATGATCCACAATGTTCATGTTTGTCCAAATTTTAGATTCCAAAGGGAACTAGGTCAACAATCTTCATGAAGTTGGCTGCAAACCTTGACTCACAAGTCAAAAAAACAAGAAAATTTTCTAAGTGTGAAAATCCTTCACAACTTGATAAGCTCATAACTCAAAATATATGCATTTTTAGACATCAATCCTTTAGGACACTTTTGTAGGATTTCTCAAGAGCTTTCCAACTAGCTTTCGACCACTCAATTTGGATGTGTGGTTTAGGAGTTGTGACCATTCCAAATAAGCTTGTAATTAGGGTTTTTCATAAATCCTATTTCTTGATTCACAAGTTATCCATCAATTCTTAATTAAATATTCACCAAACTCACTAGTTAGGCATAACATGATGTTGGAAACCTTGATTACTTAAATTTGGGTTCAATGCCCTAAAAGTCAAAGAGTTGACTTTCTAGACAGACGAACCGAATAGTTGAAATCTTCAGGATCGATCCTTAGTGTTCTGGGTTTTTTTTTGAACCTTTCAAACTGCAATTGGCTTTTTCACCTGGAAACCCTAATCAGGGTTTTGCACAACACTGCTTCAATTCTCTTGGTAACAACCTCAAATAGAACTTGTTATATGAACCTATTGATGATGTGAAGACTTTATAT